GCTTTGAGTAAAATCACGATCATTGCAATCGGTTAAGTTGCGTTCAACGTATTTGGAGGGTTTGTCATCAGAAATTTTTGGTCCTGTAAACTGGACAAGTGAAATTGGAAAGCTGATTGATTTGACATAGAGGAGGTCTATCCGTCGGCTTTCATCAACTGTATTAACTTAGGAATTCCACGATGAAAACACTCGGTGGGGAAGAATGTGCGAGAAATGTCAGCACCCACTATTTCTATCGTGAGGATAGATGCACAGTTGTCTGCAGACAACTGCAGAAAGGTAATACACTTCTGTGTGAAATCCAATCGCCGAGAGAGAAGCCACGAGGCGTCGGGAGTGGAGGTGGATAGATCCCGTCTGTGAGACGCTGCATGTGAGTGCGCTGAGTGTGATGTCTTATTTGGGTTTTTTACACCTCTGCCTCCCTGCTAATGATCTCACTTATTACTAAAATGTAATATGTGTCCCCACTGTTTTAGAGTAATTGATACAATCATGTGACCAATTAACTTTCTCTTACTACTGTTTCTTGCGTTCGTATAACTGTAATGTAAAAGGCTATTCTCACTGTATAATACTGTATTCTCAACCTGTGTACAGTGCATTACTGAGGGTTTACAATGCATTCTTGGAAAATATCTATATATTATACAGACGTAAATGTTTGTGTATATATAAATGTTTTTATAAATATATACTGTAATTTTTACAGAATTTGTATAGAAGTATGGTCATTTTTACCACGATATGAAATAATCGTTTATTCATCCTTTTGTTCCTCTCTTGTTGTATGTATGTATGTATGTAATTCTTTGTCCTATGTAGTGCACGTGATAATCGTACCAGCCTCACTACTCAGGTCACTCATCAGGCATTTGCTTGTGATGTAATGACATCAGCATTACAATAATAAGCACTAAGCCGGACATAAAAAACGATGTCAAAATACAAGAGCTCCATTTGCGACAGCATCAACACCACATCAATTATATGCTACAGTCATCGCGATGTACAATTAACACCCTCGTTGTTTTGTTTCTTCTGGCAAACAGGAATCTTTTTGTTTTCTGTCAACCTCTTTTGGTTGTTTTGCCACAATACGGTGATTCATCAATGAGACCGTACTCGGCGGAGTGGTGAGAGAGCGCTGCTTTCGCATTGTTTTACGGCTGTCTGCAGGGCTGAGGCCCACAATGCCTCACTCAATGGGAGCAGGAAAGAGGTTGACGGGACCACTGTGTTTTAAGGGTACTAGGAATTCAGCGGCTTATGAAGCCTCGTTGCGGCGACGGGGGGGCGGAAGCCTATTTTTCTTAATCTGCTGTGCAAGCCAACACAAGTCTCAGGTGGCCGGGCTCCTTGATCACTGCACCATGAGAAGCACCTGAACGGTCAGAGAAGGGGGAGGGCGGGAGCAGAGATGGGATAGAAAGGAGAGGGGAGGGCAGGGGGGGTCAGTATGTTATGATAACTCCTTCGGTGACACAGTAACCTGCTTTTTTACACCCCAATGATTTTCGTCACTTCCCTCCGAAGATTAAAAGTCACTGCGCCGTGCAGATTATACAACCGCGGGAAGAGTTTGATACAAGTTTGTTTCCACACGGCACCTACCGCGAAATGCCGCCTGCGTTGTCACCTGCGACGCTGTGCTGCGATCGGGTCACGCTCCTGCTCCTCCGGCTCCTCCTCTTGCACATGCGGATATGCGGCGATGAAAGCCAAGCGGAGGACTCGCTGCTGAAGGCGAGGCCCTTGGTATAGATCGCTGTTATGACTGGGAAGTTCAAACCCAGTGAACCACGAGAGGGAGTGTGCTTTAGGGCCTGCACGTCGCTACGGTTTGGGGTAAAGTAGAATGGGGGGGGGGGGGGGGGCTTATATGATAAATCCCCTGACATGTTAGTCGCAGGCTTCCACTGCTGCCTTCAGTTAGAGCGTACAGTAGGAATAACTGAGTGGGGCTTCGTGCAGTGATTCATGGAGAGCTCTGAACATATGTGGCGGGAACCTCTGGTGTTGACTTTGTAATGGGAACTTTCTCAGTGTAATGACATTATCTTAAGTTCAGTTCCTCCATGTATCTCCCTGACACAAATTGCAAAGAGCAATGTTGTGCATATTGGAAATTACACAGATTCCAACAGTATTAACGAAGGATAAGACTTGAACTATCCTGAAATGTTTTGTGGTCAGGACCGTGACCCTTAAACGCCATCAAATAAAAAGTGCCGTACTTGGCATGATTTCTATTGATGCATGATCACAAGCCTTTGGCCCCTTCTTTGTTTTCTTTGAGTTGTCTTCCGAATGCACTCTTTAAACCCTATTGTCGTTGTACATCAATTGCTTGCTTCACTGGGAAAGAACATTAAGGTTTGACCCCCATTCACCAAACCTCAACCTTCCCTTTCTCTTGACCCCGTAGGCTCAACGGTGGCCGCGGAACGAGCAGGGAAGAGTCCAGATGACGTCATTGCAGGTTTCAGGCATTTGAGGGATGTTTTAAATGTGAAAACTAACCAGTCCCCCAATCAGCCTTTTTTTATTAAAACAATTTGATCCGTAACGCAATGGCATCAATGTATGCACAACTAAAGGCTGAAGCAGTGAAAGCCTCACTGGTGACTCGTTGATATTGGTGCTCTTCACAGCGGTTAATCCCTATAAGGGGACTCACTGATCTACAATCACGCTCCAAATTCAAGGACTTCACGGTGTGAAATGGCCCGAAGCAGATAGTGACTCAAGCGGAGAGGCCCGGCTGTACATCTGGCAGAAATTGGGGAAGTTTAGTGCATTAACTTTGCCATCTGTGGAGAATTAATGAGTATCTGGGTAGCTACACTAACCCCTAAGTCAGCAATCGAGAGCAGTCACATGGATAACTTCAAAAATGAACGTAGGTGATAAAAGACAGTTGGTGGCTGGCTGAGTGAAATTAATTTAAAGTGATAGCTGGAGGCCATGGCACCTGCGTGCCATGCAGAGCGAGATCCAATAGGTGCTTGTTACAGTCTGACCGCACATCTGGGGCTTATTATTATTTTCAACCCCAAAAAGGTTTAACTATAAACTTCTCAGACTTGGATCTCTTTCATTAAAGGTTGTGATCATTATCATAGAAAGATCCACAGAAAGATGTATTGTATATGCTACATACAGAATATTGCTGCCTTTTTGTCTTAACTGCTTTATGTTTCTGAAATTCAACAATGGCTTAATGATAAAAGAACAGCGACAGTGTAAGTGGAGAGGATACCCTCACCTCCTCTCTGGAGCCCTGAAATACAGATGCAGGTTCAACACTGAACATTTGAAATGACTCGTCTGTCCGTTAAGTTTGAGACTAGAGGAAAGTGGAACGTGGGAATCTCACAGTTTTAAAAGCAAGTTTGAACCGTTTCCAGATGTCTGTCAGTGCTGCTCACTGATTGCGTTCTTTTTTTTTATGGCAGATGTTGACACATTTAGATAGGACCCTGAATGGGTACCAATGAGGACATCCCGACCTGCATTTATCTCTCCAATGTGATAGAATGGTACAACGTCACTCCGTTTTAAGGTTAGTCTCATATATTTTAACTGTCACTCTAGCGTATGTGCAGTGATGACACGGTCATATGTAATGTTTAGCAAAAGCACAATGAAGTTGATGTGGCGGCCCAGTGTTTGTGAAACTGACTATTATTTCAGCTCAGAGAGAAAACATAAAGGGGGAAATAAAAGGGGCAGGAAACAGATGAGAGAGAGAGACTGTTAAAAAGTAATAGCCATGACCAGGAGACTTGATGTTCTGTGTCAAAGAAAGAGCTTACCGGATCCAGAAGTGCTTCCGGTGAACCCGCCGAGTCTAATTACTCACAATGCTGTGACATTAGTCTTCAAAGGACATGAAAAACATGTCCCCTTTCACATGTCCATCAACTTCGTGGAAGGGTTGCGTTCCCAAATGATTAACGAGAAGCTGACCACATCGCGGCCAATCGACGGCTCACGGTGCACTTAATGGTTTTGTGTGTCGCTCATAGTTCTAACAACATCGATCATAGTAGATAAAACACTATATTAATGTACGACACAGTTGAAACTTAAACCCAAAAGTTAATTGGCTAAATTGACATGGTCATTGTGCATTATACTAACACTACTGACACATCACACCTTTATATTAGTGGTATTGAGGCAGTCAGAAGAGATGCTGATGTGAGAAGCTTCTAAACAGTTTAATAGATTCACTTGTGCAATTCAATTCATCAACCCTCCAGTTAACGTTTCCTTTATGACGTTTTTATAATATTAGCTATAAAAAGCAATATTCAGCAATAAGCAGTATTCAAAACAACCTCCCTGCTTGGATAGTGTGTAATAATACTCCACAAATAGGCCTGAAACCTGGAACTCGAGCCAATGACCGGTCCGTTTCATTTCCAGGATTCTGTCAACATTGCAGCGGTCCGGCTGGCCCCATGTGTGGGGGTCGAGGCGCACTCCCCATTGGCTCGCCAGCCTGTAGGGGCGGTGCTTCGCGGTTCGAGAGAGAGAGAGAGAGAGAGAGAGAGAGAGAGAGAGAGAGAGAGAGAGAGCGCTGCGGGTGCACGGGGTGTTCAGGAGGATGGCCGAGCGAAAGCTGACTTGGCACCGATCCGTGCGTGCAGTGTAGGCTGCGTTTGACACCAGGCAGCACTTTGTTCTCCGTCGGGGGGGGTGGGGTGGGGGGGGGTGAACGTGTCATAAATAGTGAGCGGATGTAACAGTGGGTGCACGTGTAGCAAATGCGATGAGGCCAGTGCACTTTGCAACACTCGCGCTGCAGAAAGCCTCCGCGGATCCCACGACCTGCTGCTGCTGACAAGCCGGGGGGAAAAGCAGAGGGGGTGGTGGTGGTGGAGGGGTAGGGAGGGTGGGGGGTGGGGGAAAGGGGGGGCTGGGGGGTAGCCGCTCCGGAGAGGCAGAGGGTACTTACCTTGGATACAGCCACTTGGGGGTTAGTGGAGTGGGGGGGGGGGGGTCTTCGCGGAGGAAATCATGCAGTTTGCAATCTGGCTGGTCGGACTAATGTGTCATCTGTCAGCGCTCGTGCGGGACACTTTGCAGCACCCATTGCATCCGAAACAAGGTAACGTGTGTTGGTTTGTTCGGTGGGACGCGGTGGAGTTTGGGGGCTTTGGAGGTGTTTTAGGAGTAATCTGTGGTGGCTGAGAATGATGCACGGTGCACAAGCTGCGTTGGCGCTGATGCCCCCACTTCTCTGTCTCTCTGCTGGTTTTGCAGAAAGCTTCATCAAGCAGCTGTCATCGTATGAAATCATCACCCCGGTCCGCGTGAATGACTTCGGGGAGTCGTTCCCCCACAAGTTGCACTACAGGAGGAGACGCAGAAGTTTGAATGAGGACCTGTCGGGTCTACGGGTTCACTACCGGATCGACGCGTTCGGGGACCGCTTTCACCTCAATCTGACCGCGGAGTCCGGCTTCATCGCCCCGTCTTACACGGTCACCCATTTGGGAGCGGAACGCAGCGGCGGCGCGGCCGCGGACCCGCACCTCGGTGACCACCGGAGCGATATGCGCCACTGCTTCTTCCGCGGACAAGTCAACGGCGAGGGCGCGTACCCGGCCGTCTTCAGCCTGTGCACTGGCCTCGTGAGTATGAGCCCCCCACTCCCCCCCCCCCCCCGGAACCCGCAGCAAAAAGTGAAGTGCGTGTGTAACTGGAGCAAGTGTGATAGAACACATGTCACCGACGAGTAGGTGGCTCAGCTGTGCGTGATGCTGCTGAAGGGAAACAGTGCCGTGTGTGTGTGTGTGCGTGCGTGTGTGTGTGTGCGTGCAGCAGGGTCGAGCACTGGTCCCGATGGTTTTCCACTCTACCGAGGCGCCCTTGAGCATGACACACGTGAATGACCCTGCTGTGTCGCTTGCTCTGAGATATAGGGCGCTATGTTTTATCTATCAGACAGCTGATAGATAAAACTATTGGTAATTGATTGTCGAAATTCGGAAACGCAAAACATGGGCTTTGCAAATGTGCTGACTAAGCGCTTTTCTCATTTTTAAAGTTTAAGTTTAAAAGCCTTTTGTATTACAGCCTGTTGGTCGGATATTGTGTGAGCTAATTGAACATGTCGCATGTTTTCTGGAACTTGTAGTTGGAATTTTGACATAGTTTTGTTTCACTTGTCGGAGCTACAGGAGTCATTGATTTACGGGTAGAATCAAATCAAACCCCACACACGTGGGTCGCATCTTTTCGATCTCACGGGGCTGTAATAGAGTTGTTTTGTCGTAATGACTTTACAGCCCCATTATCCCATTTGGAGTCGTTGAGTTGGTGTCGAAGGGGATGCCTTCGTGGGTCACGTAAGGTTACCGGTCCAGGGGCAGGGGGTTGACCTCAGCCGGATCCTGGCGTGGACTCTGCGTGGTTAGGGGGGGTTTGGCTGGACTGGCAACACCGATCTTGTAGTCTCCCTCCCTGTCACAACCCCTATCAGTGACATAATCCTTATTTTAGATAGTTGCCCCGTGCACAGTACCAGGATAGCCCGTTGATCTAAGTCATACTCAATGCAGCGATTGTACTCCTGTTAACACTTGGCAGAATAAAAGTGTTGCAGTGGGGTTAACCCCCTCGTACAACGGAGACCGCACAACCAGATAAAGTGTTTTTTCATGTTTGTAGAACAATTCAAGGCACGAGGATGGCTGGAACAGTCAGGGTAATAATACTTTAATTGCCCCCCTGCCCAACTTTGATGTATGACTCGCTTATCCAAACATGTTTGCATCCTTTTTCAAGCAAATCTTTGTTGCTTATTCGCTTCATCACTCATTGAGAACGACAGGACAATGGAGACAGCACCCGAGGCTATAGGGTCATAAATGTGTCCGTATCTGATCGCTGGGGCTTGATGGCCGTGCACATTTGGTTGGGATGAGGTCATTAAGGAATAAGTATGCCCTAAAAACAAAGGGGGCATTCTAGAAAAAGCAGGTTCCCCTTTTGTCCAGAGTTGCTCAAAGCGGTCCCCGGGGGGGGGGGGGGGGGGGGGTCTCAGAGGGAGGCCTGGTTGAGGGGGCTTTTGGCCCTTTTCAAAGTAAGCTGTGATGGGCAGAAACGGGGAGAAATGTTGTGAGGAGGAGAGAACTTGCCAACGAAGATCGCGAAGAACTTAAGGGCCGCTCACACCGTGGGAAATGCCCCCGAAGGAACTCACCCTCGCAGTTCACTCCCGTATTAGAGGTTTGTGTTGAGTCAGCCCGTCCGGAGTAAATGCTACTGTTCGTCCATTTTGGTTGAGTCAGCACCCGCGGCGTCTGAAAGGGTCTCTGTGGGATCTGTTACCAACAGATGTGTGCCAACATCATTTCGTCCGTGCCGCGGCGGTGACCTCACTTCAAATAGGAGTCAGCTCAGTTGTAAGGTCCAGTTCAGCACCCGCTACTGAACAGCAACCATTGTTTCTGTCCAGACCTTTGGCCAGATTTGTTGCTGAGCTAATGCTGGGAAACCCGCAAACTCTGCGGCCTTTATTGACCAAACAGAGCATTTGTCTGTTCAGCCTCCTATTAACACCACAGGAGAACTTTAGAGGGGCTGCTGATTGTGTAATTAATGTTAAGCCCACTGAGGGATAACCCTAACCCTAACCCTAACCCGAGATACAGGTAAACATCTTGTTACATTCAGAATACTGCAAATGCTACTTTGTACCATTGATATGCAACATTCCATGTTATTCAATGACAAAGTACTTACCTTTTGCCGCCATTCCCATTAACGCACGGCCGAGCTGGATTCCGTCGATGCGTAGTTTGATTCATGCGTCGCAGAAGCAGCTTATCGACGCGGCTCAGAACTGAAGGAATAATAATATCGCAGGGAAGTCGGACTGTTTAAGAAACATCGAGGCAACGGGTGAGGTTGTTTCCATCCCGTGTCTTGTTTTCACAAGCTCAGCACACTGCAGCACTGAGCACAGGTCACACTCAGGCCCCGTAGCGCCTTCGAGGAAGCGCATACGTGCCAGCTAATCCGTCAGCCTTTGAAAGGCGGCGCGGAAAGGTACACACACGGTTGGTACATGTTTTCCATATCCGATGTGTTTTTCCATTGTGAGACGTCCATCACTCACAGGGACGGTTATGGAATGGCGCTGCCTTAAAGATAACATTCCAGTCTCCAATATCCTGTTTAAGTGTGCGCATGAAATTACCATACAAACACCATTGTGTCTCATGGTGGAGTGAGCTAAGAAGCTTTGCGAGGGACTGAGCTGCCAAATCAATATTAGCATTCCTCTGTCAGCAGCTCTGTCCGTGTGCGATGATGTCACTCAGTATCAGGTACTGATTTTCACAGTGAGGACAAGCATTCTTAATAGCCCGAGCATAAAGGTGTCAATTGATTTGCTGAACCATGATGGCTTTACTTTTGCGTTGATAAACTTCTGAAAGGTTGCTCTCATAGTTTCTGACCTTTTGTGAGTCAAGCGCACCTTTGAAAATACGAGCATGGAAATTATACACAGCGGAACAGCAATAAAACCACAACCTCTGAATGAAACGAGGCCCTGATCTGTAAGTGAAACCTACACACGATATTTCATCCCAAAGCCGTCAATGACATCCCTTTTTTTTCTGCTCTAGATTGGAACATTTACAACGCAACACGGTGAATACTTCTTGGAGCCTCTTTTAAACGCTGCAGGGGAGGAATATGACGAAGAGCACAACAAACCTCATCTGGTCTATCGGCACGAGAGGAAGAGGAACGTCTCGCATCCCGACAACCACACGGAGCACTGTGCTGCCCCAGGTAACAGACGACAGACCACTGGCAAACCACACCGCCGCTAAACGCTGTCTGACTTTCACCCGCAGACACTTACTTCACCTGGTGATGACCTGCGTTCACTTTAATGAGCCGGAGGAATAAACACGCCCAGTCACGATCTTTGGCTCGCCAATTACCCAGGAGGTTCCAGCTTTGATTAAGGAGGGTTATTGAAAATGCGCTCCAGCATTGTGTTTCCACTCAAGTTCTGCTGGAGCAGCTCTGAGGGAAGAAATCATCACATTTCAGCTTGCATTTGCTATGAGTTTCTCCTGCTTGCTGCCCGGGTTTGGCGCTCACCACGACGGAAGGCCTTTCGAGTTGCCTTCGCGGGGAACTCCATGGGCGGCCTTTGTGGTGCGATGCAATAAATCTTGTTATGTGCAGCCCACTTGATTTGCTTGTTGTCTGAACCCAGCCATTGTCGCCTGGCGGTGGCTTATTGTGTGTGGCGGTGGGTTAAAGAACTCGATGGGCGAGGTCAATAGCAGCTTAATATGCTTCGGCCCTTTCACTCTCCCAGTCTGTGTGTGGTAAACAGAGGCTGAGAAACCCAGAGGGTCTCTCGAGCCCTCTGGGCCCTTTTTTAAATACACTCTCCCTTTAGAACCCAGAGTGGAGGCGCGGTGAATGACCCCGACTGAATGTCTTAAAAAGAAATCCACATTCGTCATCCAGGGAGTTAATGTCTCTGCCAGTTATCCGTTTCATATCTACTGAATCGTAAATGAGACGCATCCCGACTTTTCAATGCAGAACCTCAACCGTGAAGCAGGGAACTCGGAAGGGGTATTTTGTGTGCAGTTGGACATAGTGGAGAGGATGATGCATACATGGAGCAGACACCTGTGGAGCCAGATCAAAGGGCTGCAGGTAAACAAAAAGCAGCAGGATTAAAAGATCCAGTTGGGCCCGGGGTAGTACTGTGAGGTGTCCCAGGCTCCGGCTCCTCAGCTTTATCAGATAGGCCCCTCTCCAGATGCGGTGATAAATGTGCTCTTTGAAGGCCGTGCTAAGCCAATACTAACAGGCCTGTCCTGTCCTTTTATGAGAAGGAGTGCAGTACACGCTGCTACTAGCCGGCGGGATGTAAACACTGGCTTGGCACGTGTTGCTCTGCTTGCAAAACACTCGTAGTGGACGCTCCTGGTCTTTGATTTGGAACATTGCCTCTTGGCTTTGGACTTTAAATTGTGTTCACGTCAAATGAGTTTGAGGTCAAATGTAGCACACACTCAACTCTGGGGGCTCCGGTATCTTCTCGGTGGCTCTTCCTTTCTCTTGTCTCCAATCTGCATCATGTCTATACAGTTTTTTTCTGCTCCTTATTTTATGCGTCAGATTAAATCAGTGTCCAAGTATGGGCCTCCTACCCAGCGGCCAATTGCTGAGAGAGAAAGAAGACTTCAGAAGCTACGAACAAACAAGTGGAGGTGTTTAACTGCCTTTGAAACAGGATTTTGTACCTTTCTGTAGATTACAGGAAATGTTTTTTTACGAATGATTGGTTTAAGGTGAAGGTGTCAACTCAGGGGTCAAAAAAGGAAGATGCGTTTTCATTTCAGTATAGTGCATTTCTGTCTTCAGTATAACCACGCAAAGCAATTACAGCAAGTTAAGAAAGCCTCTATCTCATCACGCAGATGACAGACTGCAGGGCTTGTGGTGTTACCGGGAGGGTGAATTCCTTTCCCAGTATCTCCTCTTTTTGAGGAGCTGTAAAAGCACTCTTTGTCAGGGTCAGTCATCTTATGGCCCGCTCTCTTTTTCTCTTCCTCTCTCTCCTTCTCCACTTTATGTTCCCGTGAAGGGGACTCCAGCCTTAAATCAAAATTGGCACTTGAAGTTTGAGTGCTGAGGAGTTTGGCAGGGTTGAGGCTTTGAAGAGGTTTGACGCTTTATGGGCCTTGTATTTCTGAAGCATGCAAACACATGGATGTGCCGAATGTTAGACAATGCCTGCTAATCTGCTATCCAGGCAGCGATTTCCCCTCCGTAAAGACATTGTTTCGTCTATTTAGCCGCTGTGTTGATTATTATTCCTCGTCCGTCTTTCTGGATGCGAAAGAAAACACCTTGGTGAACAAGGCGATGACGAAACAAGCCGTGCATTATCAAGCATCCCGTTAGTAAACAGATTGTGGATCATGATTCCGCCTCGACGCGCTGCAGACAGCGGCAGGACAACGACCGGGACTTGTGTGTCTCTTGAGGCAACACGACTTTCCACAGTTTGTCCCTTCACACCTCGCGTTGAAAGGAGGAGAAGGCCGTGTTTCCACATGCATTTGAAAACTAGGAACTTTTTGTTTTGCTAACCCCCCCCCCATCCCCCGCGCTTGTCATCTCTGACACGTACAAATACTTGGCTTTTCGGTACATGTGCCGTCACTGCCTGTGAAGTGTCGGAAGCAGAAGTGCAACGATAAGAGCTTTCAAAGTGTCACCGTAAAGGAAAATGTGGTTCTGTTATCCCAGCAGTCATCACTGCGACTTGCGTGCGCTCATTCATTCGTTTAATATAGGATTTAAGTGCAACGTCTCGAAGGAAACGTGAGAGCAAATCAAAGGACCTGGACAACATCAGCATGTAGTTTGAATCCAGCTGACGGACGTTTCTAGCAACTGTATCGGCCTCCCTTCCGTCCGTGTTAGCCAACCTGGGTGGCATCCCTGCTGTTTGGAATTGGTCTTGTACGAGATAGCTGTCGGGTGGGTGATTCATGTTTTAAAGTCTACAGAGTGCCTTGTTGTGCCTGTTTCTGGCTTTTAAAAGCCCCCCGGGGAAGAAGCTCACTGGGCTCAAATCACAACACGCCTCCGACCTTTAGTGACACGTTCTACGGGGTATCTGTCTCCGAGCTCGCATGAGAGTCCCTGCGTCGTCCTTCGATATAGATAGCCACGGGGGATGAGGGTGGCCACAGATAGGGGCAGATTCTTCCCACGTCTCTTTCCCTTTGCTCTCCAAAACCCATTTGAAGACAAGCAAGAGAGCGAGGTATCTCTCTCTCTCTGTTGGCTGCGTGTCTAAAGTCGCGGGGTGTCATATTTTGTCTGAATTAGAGATAGTGAATTGAGTACAGACAGCTCGACGGCCGACGCTGCCAGCTCTAAACCCAAACACCAGTGTCCCAGTGTCCCGGTGTCCCGGTTCCTTAATGGCTGACTGGGGGCCAGCTGCGACAGCAGAGTGATTGGCTTTGATGCGGCGATACTTGGCACACACGGCATCCGTGCCCCCCTGACCCTCAACACAATCGTTGTATAGGATCCCCCCCCCCCCCAACCTCGGTGCCCACTGGATACACTGAACTCCCCCCCATTCCAGGATGTGACCGTTGCTTTCATGAATAAAAGAAAAGGTTTGCATGTGTGTCAGGGGTGCATTTTATCTGCTTTTGGACGAAGCGACCCACTGAGTACTGGGAGGACAGCAGCCCAGAGATATGGAGGAAGAAGCTTTCTTTCCTCGTGTGTTTCAGCGATAAATGTACGATTTTGCTGCAGAGCTTGGCAGAGGCCCCGGCCCTTTCCTCAACTCCCACTGCCTGCGTTTCTTCTTCCACACCTGTTCCTCTACAGTAGCTTTGTCACCCACTGCTTTTTCTCTTGGCCTGCATGGAAACAAAAATCTGATTTTCTGTCTTTTGATGGTCCTTTGGAGTGGAAGTTGAAACAGTTTTGCAACGCTGAGTTGATAACGTTACTCCTAGTTGTCAAACGAGCTGAGAAATGAGTTTTGGCAGACGCTGATTGGGCATCTTGAGCTGACGTGTGTGTTATTTTTGAGTGATGTCCAAGTTTTGTCTTCAGGCATGATCCTTTGTCCCATTTCAAATGTCATTACATTGCACGATGATAATAGCATCATATTTTAAGATAACACAGACTCTGCACATGGCTGGACAACTCCAGACAGTCTCTACCATTAATAGGGGCCATGTGTCTGCCTGGCCAGAGGCCTCCAACCCCATTGAACCCAATGCGTTTTGTTGTCTCCGGAGTTCCTGTGACAGATTCCAGCTGAGGCTATTTTCTGCAGCTGTCCACTGTCTGGCCATTCTTAAAAGACGAGGCGGGGGGGGGGGGGATTGGGATGGTGTGAGCAACTTGAGTGACAGTGACTGACTGCCCCGGTGGCATGGGGGACGTCCAGAGGTGAGAGGGGGCGACGGATGAGCGACAGCTTCCCACCGAGGTGGACGGGGGAGGAGCAGCGCTGGCCCGCCGCCCGTCTCTCGCTGTTTATCCTCCGAGAAGCCAGAAGTCACTGAAAACCACAGACATGCCTTGTTTTGGTCAAAGCCAAACTTTTAGTTTCAGGGTATTGTGCATATGAAATGACACGGACTGCGTTGGAGAAACGCGGCGATTGGTCATAGATGGTTTACTCTTTTCTCTGAAACTCTATTCACAATCTTGGGACTTGATACTCGATCTGGAGGCTTGTTTTTGCAGCGATGTCAACTCCTTCTTCGGTAGCGTACACGTTCATGCCAAGTTCACTCGTCTGGCTGAGTAACCCTGTTCCCGGGAGTCAATGGGTGCAATGCTATCATTACTGACATGAGTGACGGCCAAACGTAAGAAAAGAAGTATTCCCTAAGTGCCCCTCTTTGTGTTCTCGTTAGACGCCAAAGTCAGGTGCTATGTTAATTGTTAGGTCTACGGTGCTGTGGTTAAGGTCTCGCCTTAACGTTACACGGTGAGCCACGAACTCATCCCAAAGCAGAATGACGAGAAATTGGGAGATCTGAGATCAAGGTACTCTGAAATCACATCTAGTGTCCTTTAAAAATAAATGATGATGTTACTTAGGAGGTAAACCTCCAGCCCTGTTTGTTTGTATGTTTGTACTGTTATTGAAACGGCAGTTCTCAAAGCTGGAAGTTGGTAGACCCCCGATCTCTCTGTCATCCATCGGCCGTGATTCTCGCCTCAGTTTGAGCGTGCTAAATAGAAAGAGTCCAGGCCCCTGCCCATCATTGGGATTCCTCATCCATAAGTAGTGTTTTGTCTCCTCAGAGGAGGCCTGCTACTCCAAACACATTCTTCAGCTCACAACCTTAAGCATGTCTCTGAACTGAAAATAACAACTGGACTCTGAGAGAAAACTGTTAGTGTGCAAAGCCCGCCGTCTCCCGGTGAGGTCAAAAGTCACGCCACTTCACTTTAAAAGCCTTCTTAGGCAACAACAATTAACTGCCTTCGCTTCTCTCTGTCTCGCCACGGAATTGCTCTTAATTGTGCTTCAGTCTACAGGAGTTTCAACATGTTCCGCCCCCCCCCGGCCCCCCCTTTGTGTCTGTCAGTAACCGTATTGTCTGACCTGGTATAGAACCAGCGTAGTGCCAATACTCAATGTAAGCTATACTGTACATTTAATTGGCACCCGGGGTAAAGGGCGCTTTAACTCCCAGCGGGCCGTCGTATAAGAATGTTAATTAGTTCGACAATGAAATGTGTGCTCCCCATTGTCGGGTTCTTGGCATTGATATTTTTGACAGGGAGCTGAAGGAGAGTCAAAGAGCAAGTCTTTGATCTGGATGGAGATCTCAATGGGATCCTTTAGGACAGGCTGGATTTAACCGAATGGGCTCAAACTCAAAGTGCAAATACAACCGTTAAAATGCTTCCGTACTCTATTGAATGTTTATGAATGGGAGTAAACAGGCAGGAATCTCCTAGTATGTACAACTGTTCAGTCCACATGTGTGTGGTACCTGCATACCAACGAAACATGTTATTAGATAGATAGAGCGATAAACATTGTCAATGATGTAATTTGCATGTGATTATCTGTATGATTCAAAGCGTTTACAAAGTTTACAACTCAAGTAGAGCAGAAAAGTGAGCGTGGCGTTGTTCTTGTTCAGCTGAAAACTGCTTCGACTCATCTCAGATTTTTTTTCATTGTTCTCTGTTATTAAGAACGGCTGCAGCTCTGTTTAATGAGCTCCCGTTTGTGGGCCTTTTGCTGCGTAAAAAATAAATTGAACATCTCACGTTTGGATGTTCGGTAATCAAATACAAACATGTGGGTGGGGACTGGGGACGCGATGCCCCGAGGGAGACGTGGTGTCTCTTTGTGTCCGGCAGGTCAGGGCAGTCCCCCCCCTGTCTTCTCGTGGTGTAAGTAGCAGCTCACTACCCAGCGAGAGGATTTGAACCTAAGGCGATTTGGGAAAAGTTGCGTATGGCTAATCTGCACTGATTCAAAGGCTATTATAACAGGGACCATATTTCCTCCTCCTCTTCTTCCTCCTCTCTTTTTTCATCTCCCACTCGCTTGCTCTGAGACGTAAAGCCAATTTGTTGATGTAGATGCTCGCCTGTGCTTTGATAATCCCCCTGACGTCAGACTGTCTGCAGTGATGAGTCTGTTTGAGGGGTTTAGTGTAGTGAGGTTTGGCCCAGGAGAGATTTTTTTTTCCTGGAAAACACAAAGCTCCGTCCTGGCCCAGCGGCCCGGGCCGCGTGTGCTGACAGTCTTGGCGCCGACTCGGATGCTGGCGCTGACGTGGGCTCGGGCCTCACGGCAGCAAGAGCCCTGCGCCTTTGTGCCAGGGAGTCACGCTCCGCCTCGCGTGCCCGCTGGGGGCATCACTCGGAGGATCTGGGTGCGCTCAGTTGGACACAATGTCCCCCTGTGTTACCGCCTGGAAAGATCGAGTACACGGAACACAATAGAAGTCTTCACTTTGACCGGGTTTCCCAAAGTTGAGGAGGTGGTTTAGGATGACGGACTCATAACTATGCTCGGTTCGTGAACACTGACATTCACAAAATGACTGAGAGTCATTGATTTTTACTAAATGTCATTTGATGTTTCATTCCTTTCTCAAAGTCGTTGATTATCATAAGTATGCACGTTTCCTTATAAGCAACAGAAAACCCTGCGGAGCGCCAGGACCGTCGACATAACAGTGTTGATTTGGGCCGCGTACATATTTAATATGTAACATAAAAGTTTCCATATGTCGATGATGGAAAAAAAAAAATCTGCCCAGCCATTTTGGACAAACATTGCAGCAATGCAGGATTTACTCTCCTTTACCTTTACCCATCACTTCGCTTAAATCCTTCGGCCCCTGCGTGGAGATAGCAGCTGCAAGCAGTCTTTTTTACACACATATGGCTTTGCTGCAAATCTGGACAGCGCAACAGCCCGTGTGCAAATGCCCGTTCCCGAGATGCCTGTTACGACACAAAATTGTTATTGAAATCCTTCCAGTGGGAGTACATTATCGATTGCGGTTGAAATATGTTCCAAATATGCTGACAGAAAGAAGAAAGAAAACACACATGGCTAATTTTTCCAGCATGGGACGATTCGCTGGTCAGCAAGAGAATATAAAGCTGCTATTTGCGCCAAACAAAATGACCCAATTTTATTGCTTTGTTATTGAGTCAATTTGGAGCTTCTCTCTATAGTTCCCTGGCTCTTCTCAATAAAAAATGCTTTTAACGCTTTGTGCGTCTCTTCCTCTGTCTCCCAACTTCACTCTGTCATGGTGCAGGAATCTATCGCTCATGGCCAGTTCAACACGTGCAGCTCAGCTGAGAGAAATGCCCGTTGTGTATCCACAGAATATTGCTCATATCCCGTTTGTTTTCTCATGTGAGGCCAGTGTTGTTCACTGCGACGCTTTGTTAGGGGGTTATTTCATATTGGTTATTCTCACATTTGCAGATGATAATGTGTCACAGGTCAGAAAGGTGGGTCAGTCCCTACGTGAGTCGGTAGAGTTTAGTTTTTCCTTTTGGTGTGACCTACACGCAGACAGAGGGCGTGCACGCTGCCCGACCCGGGATACCCGTGTTCTCAAAGCTCACCACTGACCTTGTGTCTCTCGCTGCAAACGCTTTCCAGATCACTGGAATGATTTCATTTATGGTGAGTTTTTTTGGCCAAAGAAGTCCAGCCTGCTTCTGTTATGTCATCGGAATTCAGCTAAGCTAAACCCTCGGCTTTCAGCCATGTTCCACGCGATCTCCTGGAAGGCCTTCACAACATACAGCAGGGGGGCGTCCAGCGTTGGAAGCACCTCAGTCTCTCATAGTCCAATTCGCGCTTTTGATCATAACGTCGCGTCTCATTCTTTTCTCTCTTGAAACAGAGAGGTCCGAGAGGCCGGCTGCTCTGCAGAGCAGGTGGAGCATGGGAGAGGAGCTGGACGCTCTCCGATCCGTCGCAGCCGACGGACACATCCGCGACGACAACTCCACCGAAGCGCCGCGCCGACGCAAGCGCTTCCTCTCCTACCCTCGCTACGTGGAACTGATGGTGACAGCCGATGCCAAAATGGCGCGTCACCACGGACGCAACCTAGAGCACTACATCCTAACAATCATGTCAGTAGTAAGTAAAACAATGTTTCTAAAAAATATTTAGAGTTATTTTTAACATTTGGGATTATAGATGATTGGTGTGAGTTTGGGGATACGTCGTTGTTGTAGGTGGATGTCGATTAATTAAGCAGTAAGGTACGAGAGTTCGGGGGTGTTAGGCACAATGCTCTCAACCAATCACAACGCTGGATTTTATCCCCCTGTATTATCATGTGTATTATGGCACACTGCTGTGCCATCCTGACACAACAGTGTTGGTTTTTCTGTTTATTCATCGTGCACAAGGCATTTATCTTTCTATTGGAGTAGTTGCCCAAAATGTCTTCATGGCGTAACATGGCAAGACATATTTTCTTTTCAAATTTGGTGGAAAAAAGTGGAACGTGTCCATGTTGTTCTAGCCTTAGATGTTACTGTTTGACATGTTGACCGTGAACCCTGATGTGACCCTCGCACGCTGCCGCTTCAACTACAGCGTTAGAGAGTTAATTGGTAAAATCCAGACTCAGCACCTTGACCTCTTTATATATATATATACATATATATATGACTGGGAGAGCTGCCTGGTAATCAAGTCAGTAACGCTGGGCCCGAGTGTCTCTGCATATATTAGAATAGAAGTGTAAAGGCTGGATAGGTTATCAATTGCACTGAAATGTGTGTCTCGCTCTAGTATGACAGACCGACAGACCGGACAAAACACTCATTAACATACTACACGGTAATGATTGTCAGTGGCGTGTTAAGGTTGTAAGGGTACAGTCCGTGTTGAATGTGCTGGCCCAGTTTTTGGTGCAGGTCTGAAGTCAAAAAGTTCATTCAATAACGCTCATGTCTGCAGACCAGTGGTGTGGACGCACTTTATTACATTACATTACGTGTCATTTAGCTGACGCTTTTATCCAAAGCGACTTACAGTAAGTGCATTCAACCTTAGGGTACAAACTCCGAAGAGCAAGAAACAAGAATAAGACAATTTACAATTTGCTATAGATGAGTGGCGTTATAAGTACAATTTAAGTGCTACAATTTCTTAGTCTTCTGTCTAAATCTCTCTAAGTCAATTTTCTCAACCACAGTTTGATCCAATGTGGTCGATTTAAGTGAGGTTTTAGTAGTCCTTTATAATATAACTGCTGTTATACTTGATGGTATGGTAATGCCTGACATTACTTGTTTTTAGATAATCGGCGGCGTGAGATACTGTAGTGATGGTCCAGTAGAGGCTGCAGACCCATGAAATGACACAGAACAACTTAACGGCTGGCGTTAAAGCTTCCAGAGGCAGACCCCCTTGGCCCACTCTGGACAGGCCTGCACTAAGACAGGCTAAATGTTTATGGTGGCTAACGAGTTTGTGCCAGGAGGCCTCAGGAGACTGCCGGGGTGGCACGAGAAGAGCCAGCGAAGCTACAGAGGAAATGTTTTGCTGTCCTCACAGAGCGGCTCTGAGCTCCAGCTAAGGTTTCACATTTGTTGCCGGGTCCAGATTTAAGTTTATTCTATCTCTGCCATGGTCTGTTCCGGAATCCTAATTGATTTTAATACCCTGTTGACGTGAATAAACCCAACGGTGCTCAACGTAAAAAAGCGATGTGTAAATCCTCATTCCACATATTAATTGAATGCCATCCCTATCGGTGCTCTTGGATCCGGTCTGTGGAGGTTTGCATTTTTTTGTCTGTGTGTTTTGTCTTTGTTACAGGTAGCAGCAGTGTACAAGGACCCTAGCGTGGGAAACCTCATCAACATCATGATTGTCAAGCTGGTCATCGTCCACAATGAACAGGTGAGCGCAGCGTCTTGAGCGCTACCTGTATCAATATGGCTGACGTCAGCGCAGGTGTCCCCCCCGCCTGGCCTTTTCTCTGCCGGGCTCGTTTGAAAGGACACTGCCTGCCTTGTCAGTCGCCGAGTCTCAAGAGAGGTCTCCATGGAGCACAAACGATACTATAGTGAGGCGGCGGGCCACCTGCAGATGAGAGGTTGCTGGACACTGCGGTTTGTTCAGTAACTGTAACCGATTCTTAAATAGCTAAATTCAAGGGCACTGAAGTTGTTTGGATCGCCGTCGGTGCCTCCTGATCTTTCGCCATGTTACCAATGAAGTAAATAAAAGTTAGTTGACACACATATGATCTAGAGAGGCGTTGAGTTACCTGAGATTCTAAGGTGCGCTCACGCCCGCCGCATCTCAACATGTGCACCCGTCCTTTTGGTCACATCCGCCGTGGGGTTTCGCCAAAAACAGGAAGGACCCACTGTGAGCTTCAATGCCGCCACGACGCTCCACAACTTCTGTGTCTGGCAGCAAAGCCAAAACTTCCAGGACGACAGCCATCCCTCTCACCACGACACGGCACTCCTCATCACCAGGTACGCGGTCATCGCCGATCCCACTTTGAACGGCAATTTGAAAAAAAAGGCTGAAAGTGTTGTGTTTGTATTTGTTCCAGGGAGGACATCTGCCGTGCAAAAGACAAATGTGACACGTTAGGTAAACTTTTGCATTTCTCTTCTACAAATGTGAGTCCTTTTCAATCGACTTGTCACACCGGCAAGCACAGCTCATATACTGCAGTAGTCAGCTGATAACATTATAGCGAGAGCGGGACGATGGAGGAAGTGTGTACCGGGTGCTAATCTCTCTTACGGAGCAGAAGTTCTGATGGTTTAATCAAGCAGCAGCAGGATTTTTTTTTATTCTGTAAGCGTTCACGTTTCCATGTGTCCACGTGGCCCTGCAGGCCTTGCAGAGCTGGGGACCATGTGCGACCCGTACCGGAGCTGCTCCATCAGCGAGGAAAATGGAATCAGTGCCTCCTTCACCATCGCTCATGAGCTGGGCCATGTGTAAGTTACAGCACAGCACCCAACACACACACACACACACACGAACTCCCCCCGCAGCCAGCTTTGACAAACAAAAGACCTCTTATCAAGCGACACAGGGCGCAGCAGTCACAGGTGCAAAATATAATGAAGTGAAAACTTGACTTTTAATAACATGCCAGCCTTTAATACCTTACTATACAGCTCAAGAAGTTAACCCTTAGTGTGTCAGAGCTTTTGTTTTGCATGAACGACACCTCGGATGAAATTCGGTGTGGATTGGTACAAAACAAATCACCACTGAAAGTGGCACATAGAACTTTATCAGACAGGGCAAGGCGCAATGTTCTGTTTAGCATTCAGCAGCACGCTTGTTTCCTCGTATCAGCCGTAGAGGCTGATAAAACACCCGGGAGATGTGACAGTGGCGTCATATGTCTCTTGTGCGTTATCACAGTACGCATGTGTGCCAGAGAGTGTTTTCACCCCGAGCTAACACATCCACGCACAAGTGTACATCGGGGCTCCTAAGTACGACTATTTGTCTTTCATCCCGCCCAGCTCCCTTGCTGGGTATGACGTTGAGATTCTGTTTGATTTCCTTTCCGATGTGCTGTGTTCCTGTCCCATGAGCCATTGGGGAAGAATGCATTTTATTCCCTATAACGTTAAAAATATCCTCCTCTGTCTCATATGTCTCACACACATTCTTCCAGTCGAGCGATCGGACCCGAGCAGCCGACCCCTACGCTCGACTTAAGGCAGCCTGTTGGCGTGCGCAATCGCTGCGTTCACAGGGCGTGAGCTCTCCGCAGTGTTTAGTGCTTTGGGAAAGCCAGTGTCAGGTAGTGCGAGCCCTTTCAAGAGCGTGGCACATTAAAGACAGCTTTAGACCAACGGGTAGGAGGCCTTTCTCAGATGACTGCAAAGACGTGTGATTGCTAATAGCCATTACTGGGACTTTCATTGGATAGGCGTTCAAAGGCGGAACTCGCCAATGTATATATATAATATATAGATGCATATGTATATGTGTGTCAATTCTTGACATTGTTATATCACATTAGAAGTCTATCGGCTTTCATCTTCAACACCTCAGGACAAATGAAAATAAAATAAATAATAAATAAATAAAAACCTCTGCATTATCCCGATCCCACATAACCTACAGGATGAGATTACTGAGAACGTCAAAGACGGTTTGCTTTGCACCGCACCACACATGGGTGAGCTAAAACGTGTCATCGTCTGAAAGCAATTCATTTCCCCCACTTGTGTCACTGAGTCCTGTCTCCCCTAAAGTGCCGATGATTGCTGTTCTGCAGACTGCGCTGTTTGCTCCATCTCATGTCTCGCCCCCGCAGTTATCCGTGGGCATTTCAGCAAAGGAGCATGTCTTTTTAAATCTAGTTGCATGACAGCATGGCCTGAAGGATGACATGTACAGAAAAACAAAGCAGCTTGTTTTGTTGGGAGCTCCTAATTTATCAAATTTTCGTCTGGCTGCTTGGAAACTGGAATTGACTCCTCTATTGATCTGTACCTTGAGGTTGCAAGAAACATCATGATTTACTGCCTAATTACTCGAAAAGGAACTCGTCTCAGGATTTCAAGACTGTGAGCAAATGTTTGCCCTTCAGATAATTCTCAGGAAAGTCATCGTAAGGCCTCGAGAGAGTCCCGTGTCACAAATCCCTTTCGTAATAATAATAAGAATAATAATTTGTAGTTAACGGTGCGAATGCTATTTGAGCCTGATTTGATGGTGTCAGCATCAGCTCGGTTTGTACATGCACAGCTCATTACTGTGCCACAGGCTTAATTATTCCCTGGTTGTTTGCCTTCGGGCCCTCGGCCCCTGTAGGGTGGGCCGCATGCCAGAATTGCTAGGTCTTGTTTGTGCGGCGGTATTGATTGACCCCCTTCGGCGACAGCCCAGAGCCACAGACAGGCCCGTATCCTGTTATACACATCTCAGACATCATACAGCTGCATGGCTTCCTGTGTGTGTACATATGCATGTATTCATGGCTGAAAAATCTGCAGGACTATTCTGGACATGATCAGGTTGCTTTATGAGACTGATGCCGTGCTGTGTACTTCATATATCTGTTGTCCCTAACCCCAACCTTAACCCTATGCACACAAACAAAGCAGACTTATTACACAGTGCTGAGCTGCATGTTAAAAAAAAAATACAACATTGCCTCAGTGAGGAAGAGGGGTGGCCTTAAAGAGGTAAGCTCTTTGAGAATGTGAGACCTTTGACCTCTCAGTGAGCTGAAGGAGTTCTCACTCGCATCCTCGCCAAGATGGTGGAGCTGACGGATAAAGCTGGTGTGCGTGTGTGCGTGTGTGTGTGTGTGCGCGGCGGCCCAACAGGCCTGAATGTAAATCCTGTGACATTTATCCTCTTTGTTACAGCTGTTCCATTAAGCATCTGATAATCACTTTGTGTGTGTTCCCTGTACCCCCCCCCCCCTCCCCCGCCCCCGTTCCTGCTCCACACCAGGTTCAACATGCCTCACGATGACAACCCAAAGTGCCGGGAGGCGGGCCTGAAGCACCAGTATCATGTTATGGCTCCCACCCTCAACTATGACACCAACCCCTGGTCGTGGTCCAAGTGCAGCCGCAAGTACATCACCGAGTTTCTAGAGTAGGTACCAGCTCTCCTCGGCTTGAACCCGGATTCATCGTCGAGGCAAATTGAAAGGGCTTTCTCCTCCAATCTCACATTCTCACTACCACATTTCTCATTCACCATTAACTTTCACTTGTTGTGACGTGGCCGGTTAAACAAACGGCTGCAGCGTCTCTCTCGGTGCTGTGTAGACAGGTCAGTGCAATGTAAACTGTGTGGGCTTGTTATTGCCTGGTGCCGACAGAGTATTTCCTGTTTGAATCCGGGGGTCTTCCATCGGCTGACCCGAGCCATGGATCTCTCGCAGCCCCCCCGGCTGTCTTAGGCAAACGGTAAGGTGATAGTCACCGGCCGGCTTTCCGTAACACGGGGCGGCGGCTCATTCGGTGGTTCTGTGCTCACTGACCCCGGTGAAAGGCTTCCCTTTAAGATGGGGAAATGTCACTTCTAATTATATCTTCCCAGGACATGACCCCTCAATCTTTGCCTCCTTTCCTCTGTTAATTGTGGAGGCCTCCACAAAGGAAGGCCTTGTTGACCAGATGCAGCGTTAGGCCACGCCTCCTATGGGCTTTTAAGGTGGCGTTTCGCATAGTTTCCAGCAAGCGACATCGAGTGGCTGGAACGTTCAGTGAAGATGAAGCTCTTTATTATTTCCTCCGGTCAATGGCTGTGTTGTTTTATGTGCGGCGCAATACTGCACACAAAACGGGATCGAGTGTGATTGTTAATATGAACTCTAACGTTTGTTAACCGTGTGGGATTTGAGTACGAAGAGAGCCTTTCAAGTGCGGTGGGAAGCGCCCGTGAGAGCTTCGTCCAAGTGCTTTTGAAATCCGTCCCAAGCCGACATTGAGGAGCATTGGGTTGAAGTAGCGCTGCCGCGGCGCTGCTCCCGCTCAGTGGGCCGCCCTGGTCAAGTACATCAGTGTTTTGAATGCCCATTGTCCCCGAAGAGCAAATCCACACTCACCCACACTCTCCTACCAGTTCGGAAAAAAAGAGGGAACGCCTCGCCACCTCTCCAACGTCCCTGTTCCAAAGGATCCCCCTCCTCCTCCCCCTCCTTCTCCCCCTCGTCCCACTGTTTCCTTAATAACGTGCACCGAACTCCGGCTGCCGGGCGCCGATGAACAGCATCCTGCTGTTGCGCAGCGTTATTACGCGTCAGCTTCTGCATGAGGCAGCCACTCATCCCCTCGATGTCACGCAGCCGTTTGATGTGAGCCCAAGAATCCAAATACAGAACCCAAATGCAAATCTTAGCACCCACTAATTGTTGTGTCGGCTGGCTGTTGAAACCACATAATCAGTAGTCTATTATTTTCCATGGCACACCTCAAGAATTAGCCTAACTGCTCTAGCAACTCGCAAGAACTTCAATGTGATGTCATTTTAACTACTTACTGAGTCGTTATGTTCAGGAGTTCATCACAGGTAAAAACAAATAACTAATAGATACATTAATGCAATTAAATTACATGTTTGAAAATGCAGGTTTTGACAGAGCTAATGTTATTATTATTATATAAATTGTAATATACCATCAAAATATAATGGCATGTTTTCGTGAATAAAATGTTATATAAATCATAGGAGGACTACACGAACAAAACCCTCAATTAAGTCCTTAGCAATACAGACTTATTTTCCGTAAGTGGAGATTTCAAGGTAATTAATGTCTCTAGGTAGACACCGAGGTAATCCCATTACACGTCCCCAGTTCAAGCCCATCATGTTTTTGGATGTAAGTTGTTAAATGTTATGTCTAAATATGGAAACGAGGCATTATCCAATTATAACTTTTAGTAAATGTACGATAAATCTACACATATCAGTAGTAAATTATAGATTATATTATACTTATATTCTTAATATTATCGTAGATTATGTTGAAGTGAAATAAAACACCTGAGTGTGTATATTAGTAGTAGTATCTTTTCCTACAGCTCCCTGTACTATAATGGGTGCACTCTGTCAGAGACAAGCACTCTATAGTGATGCTCTGTGTCATTTCCTCTCCATCTGAAACACGAGGATGCGCCTTGCACTGTTTGCAAAGGGAAACCACGGAAACTAGTTTCTCACAACAAACTGTAAATGATCTTAAATAAACTCCAGCGTCCGCAATGACTGATAGGTGTGGAATCTCCTCTTGCTTTATTGAAAGTAGACGTTTCATTGAAAAAGTGGCCGCTTTGACCCCGTGTCCTTCTGTCTGTCTGTCTCACCTGGTCCTCATAATCATTCCGTGATTAGACAGATGACCACCTGCTGAAAGATGCTGTAATATGGGAACGTCTGACAGTCTGAGTCCTTGACAGGCTGCTTCATAGTTTCCATTCACTCCACATTCACTTCACTTCATTCCCCCCCCCCCCCCACGACGCTGTTTGCTGCAGTTTCTGACTCACGGCTGGAAAATAAAAGGGGAGAGAAACAAGTGACTGTAACTGGGGGTAATCCTGCGTAATTATTGGCCAGTCCTATCAGCTGGCGTTGTATGCAGCAGGTGTTTTAGAAGCTGGATCCCGGATTAAAATTTGTCAGAGCGGTGCAGACATGTTGTGTAATTACACATCTATACATGTCTCATCGGACAATTTCCTTTCTCAAGAGTAAACAAGAGATCCTTTGAGCCCCGGCTCGCTCTGCCAACATCTTTGACTTGTGCCTTTTTCACAAGCGGTGATTTTTGTGCGCGTTGTTGCGTACGCTCGGCCCAGCTGTGCTCTCCTTGTCTCCTGTGCCGTGGCTCAGGGCGTGGCGCACCGCAGTCTGTCATTACGCTGCAATGCCGCCGCTGGCCCCACATGTATGTAACTCAATCAGCTGCTGTGGTTGTGTAGTTTTTTGTCCTCGTTCGGCACAGATTGATGCTTACGGATAGAAACGTGGTCACCGCGCGGAACCTTTTCGGTCTTTATCACAATGCAGTTTTACGGAGTCTGTGGCGCCTCACTCAAGTTTCACAGTGACAGCATTTACTAACAGGCCAGTGACGGGGGAAGTGATATCAGCCTCCCGGTTGGGCGACTTTACAGACCACCCACTGGGTAAAAACGTCTGAGGGTGATCGCCGACAAAGACGGAGAAATGTTTACTTTGCTCTTGTGAAAGAGGCGACACGTGTTGACGCTTTCTGGGGTCAGAAAACACTGGGTTGGCCTGAAGGATGTACCACGATGTTTGCCTCGTGCACGTGTGTGCGTGTACATTATCAGCTGTCCACATAAACATGCTTTTGTGTTTTAGCACTGGCTATGGGGAGTGCCTCCTCGATGAGCCCGGAGGCAGGACGTACGAGCTGCCCACCCTCCTCCCGGGGCAGACCTACAATGCCAACAGACAGTGTGAGCTGATGTTTGGACCCGGTTCCCAAATATGCCCTTACATGGTACGCTGGCTTGTTATCAAAGCGAGCAAAACAACACAAAACCAGTAGTTGTTGTTTACTCAGAGATACATGACATGTGATCAGAGCAGTTGTCCATAACGGCTGACAGATCTGAAACTAGGTTCTTTCAATCTTAAAATAAAATGTCATGTAATAAATGTAATCTGTGAATGTATGGTATGCATTTTCTCACTCTTATTCAAGCATAAAGATAAATTGCTAAAACATATGTTCGGCCCTCACAGAAACAGTGCAAGAGGCTGTGGTGTACCAGCGCAGAGGGGGACCATAAAGGATGTCGCACACAGCATATGCCACTGGCTGATGGGACTGACTGTGGACATGGAATGGTAAGTCGGTCCACATGTGGATGTATGTTGCTTAATCAACACATTGTAGGTGTTCCATTTCCTATACGTACGTTTTTGGAAGCAACTCCAAAGTCTCCTTGACTCTCACTTAAATGTTTTCTTCACGTCCTGAAAAAGGAATTATGCCTTCCATGCAGGGCTGCTTTGAATTCTCACGCCATTACTCTCTAGTTCCCTTCCTCCAGCACACCGAGGAATAGTTTATCATGCATTACTTTCCTGCTTGAATTGCGGTTGCAGGAACCCATGTAAATGCGGTCAGGTGATGGCCCTAGTTAGAAACTTGAAGCTTAACCCTCCGTGTTGTTACGGGGCCCCAACCCCCATTAGCCTTCATGTTCTCCTCGCTCTGGGATGCTATGCTAATTAGAGCTGAGACGGCGGGTCAGCCAGTGAGGATACATGGAAAGACAGTCTGCAGGGGAGGGGGCGGAAAGAGAAAGAGAGAAAAAAGAAAGGAAAGAGAGAGAGAGAGAGAGAGAGACGGGGCAGCAAGAAAGAGGGAAAGGTGAAGACATGGGTCCTTTGAAAGAGGGTGCCTCCCGCCGTTCACAGTTGAGTCACCTTGTTGTGAACCCATGACCCTAAAACCTCTTAAAAAGGCGAGTGAGTGGGTCAGTGGTCAGGCCGTAACGGAGCCCAGGCTGAGGCCAGCCAGCGCTCCCACAAAAGAGCTCACATCAGTGATTCTGCAGTGCAGGAGGGAGGAGGAGAGTGAGGAGGGCGTACAGGGGGATGAGAATCTGTTGCGCTGGTGTTTAGCATTTGGAGCATGCATGAGAGAAGGAGAAGAAAAAAGGAAGGGTTCTCTACTCTCCTTAACCTTCTGCCCGACAGGAGTCCTTAGCGATGTGGGCCCACGCAAGTCTTGTATCCCGCATTTCCTTTCATCTGGCTCCATCTCCTTCCTCACCATGTCAAGTCCTGTCCAGTGAGAGGAGGTTAACGGGGGATAGCTAACATCTTAATCCAACTACAACATCCAGCCTGAAACATAATGGCCCTGGGATCGCAGCGCCCACGCTGCTCTCAGCCCGTGCGTGGGAGGAACACTTGGTGTTGGTTTAATCACACTGAGTGCTTTGCTTTAATAAGCTGCAAACCCTTAACCCAATTTGAGCTGACTTAGCTGGATTGGAATAGATGCCTTGGCGTTATTGGAGCCCTGTAAACATTGATTTGGTCCTTTGCAGGTCCAGAGAGGCCTTTACATCCAGTTAAAAGCAGTCACATGTTTCAAATGTTTGAAAAGTCTAAAAATGTAGTCAAGCAAAAGCTGCACCAACACATTGTTTTTACGCGTTAAGCACATTTAGATTACACGTTATCCTGCCATTAAAACCTTCATTGAACATCTAATTAAATTGAAAGAATACAGGAATCATCCTCTGGAGTACATGATTGTAGCAAATAGAACCCCAACCCAAATCAACGTCCAACCTCCGACTTCTTCTGTTACTCCATCTCATCACCAACCAACAAGCCGACCTGGATGTCCCTATCGGCGTAAAATCAACACAAATCAAATGAGACCCTTTAAGGACTTTTGTATTTTTCTAAGAGCGCAAACTGTTTTTCTTTGTGTGTCCGAGGGGAGGCCCCGCCTTTGTTTCTACTGCTCAGGGCCCCGTTTTATCCTCATGCAGGGGCCTGTTTGAAGTAGTGCGAGTTGAAAGAGATTGAGACCCCGCGCCGACTCTCAGCTGCCCATGCCAGAGCTCCCTTATGTGGTACTTTGTTATGGGGTGTCTGCGTGTGTGAGTATGTGAGCGTACCTCTGACAATCTACAAACCCACATGACTCTGCCGACTCTCTTGCATCAGCGACGCGTTGTTCGTTCTTTGTGCCTCTTGGCACCAACAGATACAAAGAACAAACAATGCGGCTCTCGCGTTCTTGCATTTCCTCCTTTCTCGGTCCTTCTTCAAAGAAGTCATGAGGATCAGGTGTAATAGGCTTCACAGGGTCTTGGGTCGAGCTTCTGGCTCTGAGGTGATCTGGAGGATCCCCGAGGGCGGAGTGTGTGTTTGGAGGTGTGTCAGATCTGGAGGATTACCATGCAGGGTCTCTAGGGGGGAATCTAGCAGCGGGTATTGTCCTAGAACGCCGAGGGTCTGATCTTACTATCGATTACACGGGAAAACGCCATCTCTCGTGAAGAAGCTGTCACCCGTCGTGGCTGCGCCGCCCGCCGCGCGCCGCAGTGGGACAGAGGCACGTCCTCTCAATTTGTTTGTATACAGCTTAGCTGAGAACGGGCCCTGCAGGGTTCATGGGCAGTTTTCTCCCCCCTCCGCGATCCCTTCTCTGCCTGTGCCTCCCTCCTGCTCTCTCTCCTCCCCGCTTCCCTCCCTGTGGCTCAACGAGCCCTCTCACAGGGCGCCGGAGTGAGTAATGCGGTCACATGACCCTCGGCGGTGCATCTGTCATCTGGCTCAGTGGGCCGTGCGCTAACGAGGGCGTCCCATCACTTGTTGTCTATAAATACCGCCACCACCCTCCCTTCCCCTCCATCCTCTCTTTCTTCCTTACCCACCCGCCCCCCCCTTTTGGTCCCTCTCACTCTTCAAACGGATCCTGCGTCTGTGTGTCTTTGTGTGTTTGCTGTTTGTGTGTGCATACATGCATGTGTAGTAGTAGTTGTCTGTGTTGTGTTGCATTTGTATTTCTGCAGAATCGTGCACATTCGCTGTGAGTTGTCAGTTGCGTCGGTGTGATTTTGTCCGCGGGAGTGTGTGTGTTTGTGTGTGTGTAGATTAGGGGCCAGCCAGCGTGGTCAATAAGTGCCTGTCAAGCCAAAGCCGGGGGCCGCTTGGCCCCGTATCCACGTCCCCGCCATGAGAAGGTCCCCGCGCTGCCTCTCACCACCTCGCTGCTCAGTGGGTGGCGGAGGGAGAGAAAAAAACCCGCCGGCAGAGCTTGAATGAAGTGTTTTGTTACCAAAGTTCTTATTGTTCTCACGTGTGTCCATTTGATTGTCCGTTTGAATGTGGCCGCGGCTCAAAGCTCCCCGCTGACTATTCAGAGGGAATTGGTTGCAAAACGACAAACAACATACTCAAGTGTTTTAGATTTAATTCAATTTCTTCTTGTGTAAAACCCCAAAAAGCTTTCCAGATTCTCTTAGTGGGGGGGCTTAATTGAGTGGTTGGTGTAAGTGAACAAATGGGAAGTTGCTTTTGATTTCCAAAGCATTCCTGGTGAGTAGAGTGACGACCTGCTCTGGTTTCAGCCAATTAGAGCGAGATAGTGAGGTCCTGCAAAGTGACGCCAGGGCAGAATGGAGTTTGTTGGCGCAGGCGGCGAGTGTTGGCTGGAACTCCCTGGCAGCCTAACAGACCCGTCTTATGATGCGGGGACGGGGTGTGTGTGTGTTTGTGTGTGTGTGTGTGTGTGTTTCTGTGCTGGAGTTTGGGATTGTGCGACACTGGAATCGGTGCTGCGAATCTCTGCGTCTTTGCAGGACGTGGTCACGTTGACCTGCCGTCATCGCGGACATCGATGTGGATGTTGAGCTAAAAAGAGGATTGTGGTTTGATGAGTCCAGCAGCCAGCGAGTGAAGCTCTCATCGCTGAAACAAGAAATATTCATACAACTATAGTGTGGTGTCCAAAATGTACACATAGTTATTGAAATCCAAATATTGTACGCAAGGTTTATTCATTGCAAATTGGCAGAAGGTTAAATACTTATATTAATAAATATTGAACACATCTAGTCTTTTCTTAATATTTTGTAATATTTATTGTATTATATTTTGGTGCTGTGTTTACAGCTTGTTTTGCTCGCTTTAAAAACAAAACAATCTCTGTTGAGGAACCGAGCTGGATGAACGCTGTGGAATGATTTGATCCACTGTAAATGTCAAAATAATATAGAATGAGACTGAGTCTAGTAGAGCGATATTGTCTCTTTTACGCCGCTGTTGGTTGTGCGCGTGAATGGAATGGTGGGAGGGGGAAGAAGGAACAAATTATAGCAAGAAGAGGCTGTTTGGGGTCACGGTTGCATCAGGCTGTCTCTCTCGCTCATCTTTACTTCCCTCTTGTCCGTTTTCCTCCTGGCTGAAAAATGAGCCTATATAAATCCAGTCTATTATAACAGATGCCGATTGACTTATTGTGAGCAACACAAAGGATCCTGAACGACTGACTTCACGAGCTTCATGCGTCTCTGCAGCCTCTGGCCTCCAGGTCAAGTTACTCCATTAGTTACAGTGCGTCATGACTTTGAAATTGAAATTCAACGGCGGTGGTCCATGTTGCGCCACAGGTGACCTCCGATGTCTCAGGTTTTTTTTTTTTTTTTTTCGCAGTCCGTCTTAATTAAGCATAGTCGAGTGGACTAACACAGACACAACCCAAACCCCTCCCCCCCTCCCGACTAAAAAGGGACCCCTTCAGCGCGGTGAAAATAGACACAACCCATCTGTCCTGTGCCGGCTCTGAGGAGACAGCGCGTGTAGGAAAGGAAAACAGCACGCCTCATTAAATCCCCCTCCTGCTCCTAACTATTCCTTCTATCAGGTTCGACTCGTCTGGGGGAAAAAGGTCAATTAGTGAATGTCATTTTCCAAAAACCTTCCTTTATGATTCAAGCAAATATTTAGGTGACTCAGATAAAGAATCTTCGTTCCGGGTTGTTAAACGGCTTGCGCGGGCGTCGCAATTGGTACCCTCGTAAATGATGTACCAAACAGGACTTCTGTAGATTGCACGGTCTCCTGTTGAAAATGACCTGGACCGACACCTTTTATAATGGAAGCCTTTTATTTTTCTTCAACCCACCCCCCCTGAGAT